CTTTCCTTGTGAGTAAATGAGTGATTGTTGCACAACACTTCCCTGCAAACGAGTGTTTGGGGAGGCCTTGGCCGCATTGCACAACCTTACTTGGTCAAGTCTCCTGAAACACTCCTGTCTGCTGATGGCTCATGCGAGGGCCAGAGCACGAGTCACAGCGTGACCATCTTGACTAAGCAGGGGTGGCCACAGATCACCAGACTGGACTGCTTCCTCCTCACCTGGGCTGCAGCATAAGGAAGCCCCATGGTAAAGCAAGTGAATAAAACCCCTTGGAGCATTTAAAAATGCCCATTTCATTCCCACATTTGACTTTCTTTTTTCTTCTTGCTGCCCAAAATGTCAGATAGCAGTGCAGGACCCTGGGCACCAGGGTCCAGAGGGAGGGACGTGCTGAAACATGCTGGGGACTCAGACCTTTGCCAGGGTCACCAGAACAACAGCATGTTTGTTCCAGACAGGCTATTTCTGCATGGCCCTGGTGCAGGCAGAGCCCGAGTCCTGCTGCGGAAGCTGTGAGCTTGGAGGGGCAGCAGCAGTCCCTGTCCTGGGGTCCTCCAGGAGCCCATTGTATGGGCCATCTCCCAGCTTGTGTTCCCTGACAAGGCAGAGCTGTGGTCAGGCCCTGGAGGAGCCATGTCACTCCTGCACACCAGAGGTGGATGTTTAGTGAAGTTGTTGCTGGTAGTTTATAAAATGTGACCAAACAGGTCAGGTGCCCCACGGCCTCTGAGCAAGCCCCGTGCTGCACTGAGCCCTAGTACAGGGATTTCCTCCCAGGCAGCTCGCAGCCAGCCACTGGACCTCGCGTTACTGTCAATAATCTCGGAGTTGGGGAGAGCCACGACAAACTTCGCAAATCAAATCCGAGCTCTGCAGTTGTTATGCCAGAGGGAAATGTGGCATGTGCAGTTTGAGAGCCTTCGTAAAAGCCCACAGAAATTCAGCTGGCACTCCTTGCAGTTTGAAAACTGGGATCTGCAGGTCTGATTTAGGGACTAGGCTTTGGTTACAGCCA